AAAAAAAAAAGATGTGGCCACTACAGGTCCGTGGAGGCCAAACTGCAGCCCGCACCCCCACGCGGCCCCGCCGCCGGCGGCTCACCGTAGTAGGGCCGCGCACACAGATCCTCCTCGCTGCCATAGATGCGCCACTGGCCGCTGCGGGTCTGGTCACCGCGATCGGCGGTGCCGGCTTTGGATGCGTTGCCAGCATGGCCCCCCAGAAACAGGGACAGCTGGTCGCCCAGTGTGCGGCAGTGCCAGCGCAGGCTCAGCGCCTCCCGGTCACACTCGTACATGCCCGGGGCGGCGGTGGTGTTGGCGCTGGGCCAGCCGGTGCCCAGGCACTGCATGGAGCCCAGGTTGAAGAGCCGGTTTCTGGAGACCCACTTCCAGCGCTGGGCAGGGAGGCTGGCATTGCAGGCTGGGGAGACTCTGACCTGCCCGCCCTGCGCCTCCAGGCAGCCCTGCAGCCCGTGGCTGAAGATGAGGAAGATGGTGGGCTCTGGAAGAGAGGGCAGGACAGGGAGCGATTGCAGCAGCTCCCGCGGCTGCCAGTGCCGCCTGTTGAGGTTCGGGGTGCCGTGAGAGGCGCTGCGATTCCCCTGTGCTGGGGGGTGGGGAGGGGGCAGCCAATGGACAGCGCCAGTCTCTGTTCCAGCCCCATGGCCACCTGGAGGCAGAACTCTGTCTCACCTCCAGATGCAAACCCAACTCCGCCAGTAATTGGGGTCCTGTTACTTTTCTGAGGCAAGCAGAGCCACCTTCGCCCGATGGCCATCACACAGCACCCTCCTCCCCACAGTCCACTCAGGCCTGGACTCACTTTGCTGCTCTGCTCCACTGGTCCCGCCTCTCCCTGCGTCATTCCTGACCTCCCAGAGTCTTCCCAGATCACTCACCACCCCCCGGCCCAACCCGACCATCCGCACCCCCAAAAATCATTTCCTCGGCATTTTTTACACAGCATTTAGTGCTCTGGTTTCCCTGACTTTAAATCCTCTCATCCATCACCTCACTAAGCAGATACCTTCTGTGAAGACCGTGAAATCCAACCAGCCTCCCAACACCCCAACTTTACAGATTAAGACACCAACTCCAATATTTATAGATTGTACATTAGTGGTCACGGGGGGCTGGGCTGGGGGTGATGGGAATGGGAGTCACTGCTAAGGCACATGGTGATCCTTTTGGGTGATGAAGTGTTCCAGAATTAGACGGTCCTGCACATGTCTGTGGATGTGCTCAACTCAATTAGTGGAACATTTTCAATGGGTCACTTTCATGACATGTGAATTTTATCTCAGCTGGAGAAAGAAGCTACGGTTTAGAGACAAGAAGTGACCCTACAGTACCCAACACCCAGGAAGCAAACCCAGGTCTCCCTGACACCCACATTTCACCAGCCTCCTCTTCTTCCCCCAGCTGACTCTTCAGCCATAACACACACAAGTACAGGCATCCTAGAACCAAAGACCACTTGTTTCCATTAGCTACAAGCTCCTCAGGACAATCTTCATGCCTCCTCAGGACGAATCTGACTGCCAGGGTTCAAATCCCAGCCAGGCCACTTAACCGTGGTGCTGGGACCAAGCTGCCTAACTCTGACTGGGTTTCCTCATCACAGACCTGTAAAGGTTAAATGAGATAGTAGTGTTGTGTTTGGAAGAGGTCTAGCACATAGTCAGAATATTATATATGTTGTTGTTATTATTATTATTTCATGTTACAAGAAAGGAAGTTGAGTAATTGTGGTGAAACAATTTGAACTGAGCCTCAGGGCTGGTAAGAGATGGAGCTGACTGCCTGCCATGCAGGGGAGGAGACTCCTATACTGTCAGTCTCCACTATCCTTTAAAAACACAACTTCTAGAAAAAATATTGGAGTGTTGAAGGACATAAAGAACAAAATGATGAATTCAGTGACATAATTTTTGGCATTGCAAGAAAAATGCTATACAAAAGTGAAAATTCAAATGACAAAAATATTAGAGGCAAACCGTCAGTTCTTTAACATGAAATGAGATACAAAGACATAATGAATTCCAAGATAAACATCAACAATTCAGTAGAAAACAAGTAAAAGACATGAATACAGAGCTTTGGAAAAAATGCAGTTAGCTCCCAAACAGTTGAAGTCATGGTCTCATTCACAGTAAAAGGAAAAAACAACTTAAGTCAGATAAACCTCTCCCCACTTAAAGTCCTCCAAAGATGATTCGTCATTCTTCAAGTGTAATTCAAACTCCCCACCAAGAGCCAGTCACAAGATCCTGTGTGATCTGGCCTTGCCTCTCAGCCTGATCCTCGAACACCCTAGCCCTTTGCTGAAGTCACCCTGTATCCCTGCTTCCTGAAGCTGCCCTGATCCTTTCCTTGCCTGGAGCTGCCTGGATTTCACATTTTAAAGTCACACTTGTGGAGACACTCTGAGGGCCCCCAACCTAAAAAGCCACACAGTGACTCATTTATTTGCTTACTTTTTTTCATCTTCTAATTAGATGAGCCTACAATTTGCCTCTTCACTATGGGTGACTTTAGCTTGCTTTCAGCCTGTCTAGTAATTTTTATTACATATTGGACATTGTCGTTGATGTTATTAAGGAGTTGAGTTTTTTTACTAGTGTTATGGATGATGTGTTATGGGGAGCTTGGATTACTTCTATTTAGTTATTTATTTTCTGTGTCTTCCTAAAAAGAATGCTGAGTTTGGTTCTGGCAGGCAGGGCTCCCCTAGATCCTGTAGAGGCTTGGTTTTAGGCTTTGCTGGGGTGGGGTTGTTCTGGTTGTGCCTTTAGTCTCAGGGTGTGGCACTTAGCCTTCGGTCTAATCACAAGGTGAGGCCTTTCGGCAGTTTCAAAGGAAAAACAGGCAATTACCTAGCTCCTCGAACTTGGTGGAACTTGAATTCCAAACTGTTTTCTTCAGAACAGGCAGCAGCTGAAAATTCTGCCTTCCAGCTGTGTTTCTAGGCCCTTTCTAAGATTTTCCCTCTTGAGTATTAGCTTTTCTGGTAGTCCCAACCTCTCTCCAGTAAAACTGCTGCTTTCTGTGTCAGCCCCTCAAAGCTGGCAGTGCTGGTGGGGAAGTTAGTGAGTCATTCATCTGCTATGGGTCACTTCTTCCTTCTTTTCTTGCAGTGGCTTCTCCTCATCATCTCCCTGGTCTTCACTGCTCTTGGGTGCCTTGAACCACTGTGTTCCCTATTTCACCCAAAGCTTTGGCACACTCAGCGGCACAGCTAGACCACACCATAACTCACTCTGTCACTTCTGCTTCTTTTCGGCGCCTCCCTCTTGTTCACAGCCTGTGGGACTTTCTCTTGGTATTTTCTCTGTCAGCAATTCCCATACCTGACACAATACACAGTTGTGCTCAATAAATGCTGAGTCTCATACCCACATCATAATCTGGGCAACCCCATCCATCTTTGGGTGGGCAGCTCCTTGTCCCAGCTTCCAAGTTAGACTTCCTAAAACAAGGTGCTCACAGCTCCGAGACGTAAAACCCGTCAGTGGGAAGAGAAGGTGCTGGATCAGGGGGACCTCTGGCCCCTGTTCTCAGCACCTGGATGGAGCGCCTCTTGGGTGAGACAAGGGTGACCTCCGTGGCTCATCCTGCCCTCTCTTCTCCACCTGCTCTTCCCTTCCAGCCATGCTCCAGACTGGCCCAGGACCTGATCTAGGCCGCATCTGGGCCCGGCACCACACCTGGGCCTAACGCTGCACCTGGGCCTAGCACCTGGTTCTCAGGAACTCCACTTAGGCAAGGGCAGTCACCAGAAACGGCAAGTGGCCCGTGGCAGGGGGCAGAGAGGGCCTGGGACCGGAAAAGGGAAAAGGTCATAGTTGTTTTTCTTCGTGCTTCTCAGAGAGGAATGGACAGGCTCACAGGAGCCCACACAGAGCAGGGGACAGTGGCTCCTCCTGCTCCCCAACCAGAAAACCCACACAAGGGCTAGAGCCACTGCAGCCAGCCTGCGCAGCACGGCCTCGAGAGGCCGGAGAGGCGCACGGCAGCCAGGAGGGCCCTTTCCTGGTCCAGGTCACCTTCCCCTCTCTCAGCAGGAAACCAGGCCCAGAGAGGAAGACATCAAGACAGCAATTGCCTCCTTCCGAGGCCCCAGCTCCAGCTCTGGCATCTACATCACAGTTGCGGGGCCGTCTCCCCCGATGTCCTAGGTTCTGGGCTCACAGCCACCTGTCGTCCCCGAGCCTGCTACGTGAAAGGCAGAGAGGCAGGTCCCGGGAACGCTGGTGCGGGGGACACACACCGTACTGGCCTAGGACAAGAGGAATGCAGCAGGGTGCAGCCAGGCCAGGGCCAGGCAAGCAAGCCTTGAAGATCCTGGCGTCTGAGGAGGGAGCTGTGCCCCCTGGGGGGCAGGGAGTGGGTCTGTGCCAGCTGCCCAGGCCTGGGGCAGAGATCTGAAGCCCTGTTGGATCAGGCACAGGAGGGGCAGAGAAGTGACTGGGCAGCGAATGACAAAAAACTAGGAATTCGGGAGCAGAAGGCGGAGGGCATAGCTGAGGGGCGGCCAAGGAGAGTCTTCTCAGAGGTGGGTCTTGGGGACTCTGCTAAGCTGAGGGCCCAGGGGCCCACCCCACGGCGAAGGTGGTGCTGTGGCCTCAAGGAAAGGAGGGTGTTTCTCCAGGGGCCAAAGGAGGAAGAGTGCAGGTGGGCTGGAGCATCTTGGAAAGGAGGGCACTGGCTGCTGGCATCTGTGCGCAGGGGCGATCAGGAGAAAGCCCCCAAACGCCCCGCCCTGGCCTCATCCACATGCCCGAGCTCAGCAGGGAGAGTGGCAGGGAAGGTGCCCAGCTCAGAGGTGCCAGTGGGGCACCTCGGCAGGGGCCTCACCAAGGACGAACAGGCGCGTTTGGTGACACCCTGACCACGTCCAGGAAGTGCCAGGCATCGGGTCACAGCTCTCAAGCACCCAATCCACGAGTGAACAAATGAGTGAAGCTAGCAGAGCATGTGCCTCATTCACTGGCTCGTCAGATCTTTCCTAAGGGTTTCGGGGGGCAGGCGTGGTGCCAGGGGAGCCACGCCGACGTGCCGCCTGCACAGTCCGGTGCAAGAGTTCTGGGCTCTGGGAGAGCCGGAGGCGGTGACAGCAGCCCCCAGCTGCTCGCGGCTTCTGGCCTCTGGCATCCCAGCAAGCTTCCCGTCCCCTCTCCTTGTTCTGGACAGAGAACTTCCTGCAGCTCCAGCTGCGTGGCACACACAGGCTGGCTCGTAGCACAGAGACTGAGCACAAGCCCCAACAGGCTGCTCAAAGTCCTCAAAGCAAGTCGCCCCTCTCTGTTCGGGTTGCTAAACTGGGGGTGCAACCCCAGGCCCCTCTGCAAGGAACAGGCCTTTCTGCTCTAGGGAAGGAGGAGAGTAACGCAGAAGAGACTGCACTGCACAGAGCAAGCTGGAAGGGGGCAAGTGGGGGGCAGGGGGGCGGCGGGGAGTCTGGGGTCACCCGGGATCCCTCCCAGCCACTGGGGCTCCTGCGTTCCCTCCTCTCGCTGAGCTTGTTTGCTTTGGGTTTCTGTCCTGAACCAAAAGAATCTTGAAAAACACACAACCCTGTGCTTTGGGGTCAGAGTCATTCTCACAGTCTGGGGCCCTGGCTCATCCTCCTTCCTCCCAGGAGGCCGCTGCTCCAGGAACTTCTCTGACGGTCAGACCCCGGGGAGCAAGCTAGCTGGGCTCTCAGAGCATCTGGACCTTGTTGGAGGAGGTGGCCGGAGGCAGCACCTGCTGCCCGCGGGCTTTCCCACCCACCCA